AAATGCAGCTTGCAGTTTTGCTATCTATATTTGTAAATAACCTTATAGACTATCGATCTACCCAGGTCTCCATTCAAAGTTCCATGGTAAGCTGCCGGACTTCCCTGGTTGTACACACTCGTCAAATAGCAGTGATAGAACGTCTAGTCTTCTATTCTGTCTTGAAAAGGATTTCAAATTTCGAACTTTGCTCGGAGACCCGCGTCCACTGAAAAAGCTGGGAATGCTGATTACAAACATGAAAACCAAAATGCTGACTGAATCCCGAAAGCGAGTTATAAACGGACAAGCTAACCTTTTTTATCAAAACCTGTCTTCGAACTGTGGCAAGAACTCCCCCGATTTTCGCCCCTAATGGAAGTGATATTTGTATACAGAAAGTCAAGCTAACTAAGGGGCAAACTTTTAAGCAGATCGAGACAGCATCTGCTTATGTGCCTTACAAATTTACATGTTTGCAAATTTTAGACGCTTATAACTCGCCCACGTCCTAGTTCCCAGCTCCCCGCTCGAAATTCCGAGCAGGGTTCATCTCCCTTGGGGAAAACTGAAGTGGGATCCTTTGATGGTGAATATGTCCCTTGAGAGCTAACATTAGCTTAACATCGGTTTACAGTCGAGATAGGGAAAGAAGCTACCGCGGTCGAGAAATCCACAGTACGGCAAGGTGCAGTCGCGGGTCACGAGATCTTATTCGATACAGCTTGGATTTGAGTCGAATCAAATTGGGAAATACAAGCCAGTTTGAGTGCGTCGCAACGTGGACCTGCCCACCAGTCTCGTATGGTCCACTTTCCCAAAAAAATGACGTCAAACAATGTCAAAGAGACTGGTTTACCTTCACTAAGTCCGTCACCCAGCACCCTATACTTTGATGCTAAGGATTCTCCTGTGCAGTTGCTGAGCCTGCTTAGGTTCCCAGATTTGATGATTCATTACCGCCAGTCTCGTTGCGAATGGTTGATACCAAATCATAGTGTATCACACCAAAACTGATACGTTAACATAAGGCACAAGTGGTAGGATAAGAGATAAAGCTGCGCGAGCGACGAATGAAGAGGACAGTCAGACGCCACCACTTCTTCGTACGAAAGTATCCTGGCCGTGTCAGTGACTCGACTAGGTCCTAATAATAATTCAGCCTTACACCTTTCTTCAGATTCCTAGTGGTTCTTTCGTAACCACTTCAAAACTCATAACTCTCGCTGACCAGCAACAGGTCTTTGTCAAAATATGCGGCACGCCCTTTAGCTCTCCGCAACATCAGCAAGATTCGAACATGCAAAATTCAAACATCAGCAAAATCATATCTGTGAGCTGGTGTTTTACACAGTCCTCATCATTGCGGACTGTCGGTCGCAATCAGCGGTTCCCACCTGCGGCCTTCCCACCAGTGGCTGATTCCTTCCTACATCGATCATTGCTCGATCATTGGTAGAGCAAGGCGGCCGGACGCGAGCTCGTGCCGCGCTGCTCTCGCCGCCCCCGACAATTGCAATGTTACAAACTATACGTCCGGTGGACTTCTTGGGCGAAGTCTAACTACTGGTTTACTGGAGTGTGTCCGACATGGGCGAGAGAGTGAGAGGGAGGCGCTCGGCCAAGTAGCTTGCATGTCAAGAGTTTAGTAACATCTCCGGGCCTGTGACAAAGCGACAAAGTCGGAACGCCAGGCCAAATAAAGGCACAAACAGCCTTGCTTGGCAGAAAAGAAGAGAAAATACCTTTTTAGCACAAGGTCTCGTCACAACTAGCGCATTCCTTAGATCATTTCGACACGTCATTCCAGTTTCCATAGCTGTGAATTATGGATAAAACTCGCCATCCGTTGTATAGAACACTGGAGGGAGGGGGCACATCGTGTCTCAAGGGGTCGCGTTTTGACATGAGTTTCTAGTTGCCGACTTTTCATATGTTTCTATGAGGTAATGGTCGAGATGGCTTCCATCTGGCTGCGCTTATACTTTCAGCGTATGCGTGCCCAGCAATCGCTCTCAAGACGCCCGGATCGATACCCTGTTTTCCTCGCCCAAAGCGCTGACGTAAAGTATGAACACTTTCTATTTCCGTTAACTGATTACGATCGCTCAGGAAAACTCAGATTTCCAACAAAAGAGGAAATTAGGAAATAAGAGCTCGAGAACTTGTGCAGTCCCATATGCTATGCTACTACGAGATCACCACATCATGCTGATTCGTACAACTTACCCAAATGTGCTCCGAATGAGATTCTTTATTGTTTGGATCAAGTCCCGTAAGAAATATCAACTGCTGTGGTCTTCCACCCAACCAATCACCGGCTTCCACCGGATCCATTACCCAAAACGAGAGAAACACATTTCTCAAATGTTCTATTTATTCAGCAGGCCATAGTTTTGTAGCAACGTATGTATCAAACAGAACAACTGCTGGTCGAGCTATACATCTTCATAACAATTTTATTCGGAGTTCATCATCAACACGAAAAATCAACAGCAAAAAAGTGCCGAAACATCGCTCCCATCAGTTAATCCAGCTGAAAAACACCAAGTGAGATATGAAGGCACTTCATAAGAATGCACAAGCTAAGAAACAAATGTGTGGATCTCTCCACTACGTGAATGCACACCCAGTACACACGTTTTCGACGAGATCCTCTAATCTTGCAGGATTAACTTATCCGTACAAACAAGAAATTTGCCGGGAATGGGGTCCTGCATGGAAACAATGGCTTTAAGAAGTCAGAACACAATATGTACCTTCTTGAATCCGATGTCCTTGGCGTATTCTCTGAAGCACCTACGGCACATGTCAAGTCCGTACTTTCTGATCAGACCATGATGGTTGGAGCAGACACGGCTGAAATTTTGCCATTCAAGTTTCCCCGTGCAAAACCAAGCGAAAAATCCTCACAGATCCAACAATTTTTATGTAATGAGAACTGAACATAGTTTTATGGTGGGGAATTCTAGCAGAGAAAACTGATGAATGTTCAGGTAAATAATGCCGCGCTTACGTAGTTGACTCTACGAGTAAGGTGGCTACGACAGTACTTGTTGTCAGTGCTTAATCTATCACCGGTGCAGTGATATCTTCCTTCTTCTAAGCTTGGATGAACGCAAAGGGCACAGTCGCCATAGCACAGAGTCGCCTATGACTCCCCAACTAATCTAGCGATAGAAATTCTAATAACTATCGTTTCGCAAAGAAATCGTTAACCCTGGAAGTTACGCCATCTCCCCCAGGCTAAAGCCAAATAGTGTCCAGCTTCTCTCTTCATAAAACCCTCGGCATTATTGTGAACTTAACAACAACTTAACTCTTACTAACTACAACTAACAGCGAATTGTAGTTAGTAAGAGTTAAATTGTTGTTAAAACTGGCCTCTGAGGACGACGATCCCGTCGAAACGTCAGGCCAGTTTCAATGAAAGTCTTCCACCTACCAACCTCTGTGGCACAATATATTACAACTTGAATGTTCTGTAGATAAAATTTTACGCCGGTTCAAAATTGCCTCCCAGCAGAATGTATCGTCCAACATGAAAGCTAACTTAAAGGCAGCGTCCGCGTTCAGTTGAGATTTTCCTCTCCCTTCGTGAGCAGGTAGTCAGGTCCGCAGAGGCAACAACTACACCACTTTCGCGGCGCAAAAACGAGTGAGGAGGCCCACGATGCCGTCGTTCTTCTCATTGGCCCAACCTACAATCATTGGCACCGCCCTCCATTCATTCCTAATGGTTATCTGATGGTGCGGTTGTTTCGCTGCTGCTTCGCTCCACGTCGACGGGCATTTTGTACTACCACTGCTTCCCTAGTTCCGGTTCACAAATCTCACCCTGGTAAAACTTGTGAACCCTTGTGAAGCTGGTGCAGGATCGTCTAGCCACCATCCTAAAACGTGTCAACTCGAGAAAAGGCTACCTAGATGGGTCTATGGAAAGCAGAATGCCCCCCCCCCGCCCGTCGACAAACTGCGCCTGCTTCTCTCCACGTCGAGTGGTGAGAGTGAGGTGATAAGGGAAAACAGCTGATATCAACAAGTGAGAACTCGTGCGACCGCACCTTCTCTTCGCCTTGAGCACGTACAACCTCAATTAAGCAAGGGGTTCTATATAGAGCCTTTCCTATGATTTCTTTCTGATTTTTCTTCACTAAAGGGGTTACTTGCTACCTTGTTATAAGTATTTGAGCCGCATAACTTATCAAATCTGAATGCGGGCTCAGCGCTGTAAGGAAATGTGTCGTAACAAAGTTCCCAACCATTGCCTTGTGCAAGGATGAAACTAGTAATAACTGCATCCAAATGCCCTGTAAACTCGAAATGCTACATCTTCATATCACAAAGTGGTACAAAGAGACGTGATTTCCCCAGGATAACACAATATCAAGGTAGGGAATATCAAAGAGGTCCTTTTCCATACGTGGCTGCTACTACATTTTCTGGTCTTAACAAGCGCAAACTTAAGTTGTTGGATATCAGTTGATGCGCACCAGTGAGAGAAAGAATGGACAAAGCTATTGAGGATGCCCTTAATGAGGCCCAAGGATTAAACCAGAACACCAAGGAGCGAGACACTGTTGTGCAGGAGAGACCGGAAACAATGGAAAAAGTTTATTTCAGACCAAGCCCGCGTCTTCTTACTTTAAATTTGCATCGAGGAAGTGGAAAAAGAAAAAACCTAACATGACTGCTTATATTGAGCCGAAAAGTTTCCGCCATAATTTCAGCCTACTTTTGCCGAATCGTGGTTAGGCAAAAAGGACTAAAGAGCGAGTTTGACGACGTGACCATTTTTGGAAAAAAAAGCAGCGAAGCTGCGGATAAGATAGAACTATCATGTCAACGTGTATATGCACGCTTAGGTGCGGGCCACAGGGTTGTGCGGCAGCGCACATCCTCGCAGCTTTATAAATATGAAGCATGCCAGGCAGTTTGGGCTTCAGAACAAAAAGTTATATAAAAAAGGAAAAAGAAAGAAAAAGGTATACCACAAGAAAGAAAGAAAAAAACAAGCGGGTGCCCGAACGCATGCAGGCAATACAAATAGCACTGGAATTAAGAACACTTCAGGACTTGAATTTTCTTAGAAATCTTGTACAGCTATCGAAATTCATTAAAATCTCACCTTTTATCAATTACTTCTAAATGCATAGTGTTAGCTGCCTTCTGCAGATCTGATGGCAGGGAAAATGGAGCCATCTCGCTCCTCGGAAAAATAATGAGCTGAAATCTTTTTGGAGCTGGAACCTTTTTTCCTACAGAGAGGTAGGGAGAGAGGGGGGGGGGGGGGCAATGCTGCGTTGATTTGGCATTTCTTTGCTTTCGGCCGAATCTCTCGTTAATGGGCAGGCGATGTTTAATTCGCGCACTCCTTCACAGTCGTTGACGTATTAACCGGAGACTCAAAATCTTACAGTAAAAATAGAAAGCAGTTATAAACATCGAAACGTGAAAACATAAAGATGGATACTTGGCCATTCGCTATGTGCTAGAGTCGAAAGACCAAAGGGAAGCAAAAAGGGCAGTGGTTTCCATGAAATGTACGACTACTATTGAAATGACAAGTTCAGAACCACATACATCACATACCCACCCACGTACTTTTACACACACGAATACTGTAAAACACACGCCCACATTCGCGGAACTCATCCGTAATAAGATGCCGCCCTGCAGACTCGTGCTACATGAGAACTTTTCTTACATAATACAATGAACTAATCTTGTTGAGTCCAACACCCCCTCAACTTCGCCTTTCGCATGAAGCGCTCGAAATGTGAGGTGATGCCGCAGAAATCAATGAACATCCAAATAATCCAGGAAGGGGTATTGCATTGTCTACATCGGCCATATCAAATGTATTGCACTGGAACCTTGGAGCTTATCGTTTCGCCGACCAAGTGAGAACAATTGAAGCAAATGGGGAAATGTCAACTTCTCGATAACGCACATTGGCGGGAAGGTGCTACTGCACAACGCTTCTTGTTTCTCTTCCCTGGGCGAGGCTTACGCACAGAGCGCAGATGGACAGAACTGTCGCGGAATACCCCCGCAAAGCAAGCAGGCTTTCTCTACGCGTTTCTAGACGTATGCGCTCTATGCCTGAGCCTTCCTTAGTCGTGGGAACGGAAGGCACTGTAAAATGCAACTCCTTGGAGAGCCTGACACCTCTGACACCAGCTGTTCATCTCTTTGCCAGGAGGCCACACCAAAAAGCTCGATAAAACGTCACAAAAAGAAAAAAAACATTAACAAAAATTTATAAGAAAAACAAAACAGGCTAATCATGCGAAGAAACTCACCAGGATCGGGATCCTGGTCCGAATTTGCGGGGATGCGAGAACCACAGGTTGGCGAAGCCCATTGCGAGTTCAGCTGAAATAATGAAGGATCACAGTGAAAAACGATAACTGGTAAGATCACATTTGCGTAGACATAAAGAACTGAATTTCAGACTCTTTTTTGAATATGAAGTTCCTCAAATCACTGAAGATACATCACGACAAAATGAGCAGAATGTTTACAGCGTTAAAGCGCTCACCGGCGTTTTAAGCGACTAAGAAAAGATAGGTATGGATTATCGCTGAAAATGCTGAAGGACGCCAAAACGCTGCGTTGATACCTATACACTTCTAATCGCTCAAAACGCTGCCGCAAACTATGAACGCACTGCTATGTAGCCCTCTGAATCCGAAATATTCCATGTTTCACCCGCAAATAGTCTATGTCCATAAATTAACGGATAGAAGAAGAAAATTATCAATTCTCATACAGAGTACCACATATTATTACTCAAACCATTACCTATACCATGGTTAACTGTTTGAAAAGACAGCAGAAGCATTTGAAAAACATTCCACATACAATTTAATGACTTATTCATCTTGAAAAATTTGAATTATCTCCATTTGCATCCACCATCCACGTGAAACCCTTCCTGTAAAAAACCCACCCCTTCAGTGTAAGTTCAGCGACGGTGATTTCACGAAAACCCCATCTTCCCAAATAAGCATGGTTGTATTTACACCAGTTAGTACTAGAATGAGGCTGCGTAGAAACTGAAAGGGACTCAGGTATGGTGACCCCTAAAAGACAGAACTAAAAACTTGCAGAAGATCGAGATATCACCGGGGCCCAAAACTGGATACAATTCCAACCTATACGATGCCACACTATATTATAACCCACATTAGAATAGGATATAACAACTACTCCTAGTTTATGACCAAAAGATTTCTAAAGAAATAGTAAACGTGGATATAAAACACCTAAACAGGAAACCGGCGAATTGAAAAGGAGAAAATTCGACGCGTCGACGGCTGATGCGATTACGGTAGCAGCCGTCATGT